GCAATCTGTTTGGTATATATCTCTTTTCCTCACTAGATAACAAGTTCCTTGAGGGGAGGGGCCTGCATCTTATTCATCTTTGCATCTTCAGCACTTTTCATGGCATTAGATACATAGTTCCAGCTCAACCAATGTTTCTTCAATGAATGAATGAGCAGTCAGGTAATCATGGGACTTAAAAAATGCAAGTGGCTTGTGCCTGTAATCCTAGCACTTTGAGAGGCCAAGGCGGGCAGATGACTTAAGGTCAGGAGTTGGAGACCAGCCTGGCCAACATGGTGAAACTCCATCTCTACTAAAAAAAAATTTCAGCCGGGCGCGGTAGCTCAAGCCTGTAATCCCAGCACTTTGGGAGGCCGAGGCGGGTGGATCACTAGGTCAAGAGATAGAGACCATCCTGGTCAACATGGTGAAACCCTGTCTCTACTAAAGATACAAAAAAATTAGCTGGGCATGGTGGCACATGCCTGTAATCCCAGCTACTCAGGAGGCTGAGGCAGGAGAATTGCTTGAACCCAGGAGGCGGAGGTTGCGGTGAGCTGAGATCGGGCCATTGCACTCCAACCTGGGTAACAAGAGCGAAACTCCGTCTCAAAAAAAAAAAAAAAATTTCAAAAATTAGCTGGGCGTGGTGGTGCCTGCCTGTAATCCTAGCTACCCTGGAGGCTAGGAGAATCACTGAAACCCGGGAGGCGGAGGCTACAGTGAGCTGAGATCATGCCACTGCACTCCAGCGTGGGCAACAGAGCAAGACTCCGTCTCAAAAAAAAAAAAAAAAAAAAAAATGCAAGTTATAGGAGATTTCTAATGTAGGACAATAGGCATACTTTTAAACACATTGTAATAGAAGGGAAACTCTGAGCTTGCTTATTAGCTTATGGACTGTTATTCTGATGCTCGGAGTTTGTGCTGTATGTAACTGTATAGAATTCCTTCAGGGGCCTGTTTTGGCACGGTGGGTCCTGCTGTGCTCCTAGGTAGCAGCGGGTGCTCATTTTATGCCCTGCCCTATTGGTTTGAGTAGAAATGCTCTCTGTTGATTGTAGAACTCTAATGAGTTATTAGAAGATGAGCACCCTGCACTTTGGGAGGCCGAGGCAGGTGGATCATGAGGTCAAGAGATCGAGACCATCCTGGTCAACATGGTGAAACCCCGTCTCTACTAAAAATACAAAAAATTAGCTGGGCATGGTGGCGCGTGCCTGTAATCCCAGCTACTCAGGAGGCTGAGGCAGGAGAATTGCCTGAACCCAGGAGGCGGAGGTTGCGGTGAGCCGAGATCGCGCCATTGCACTCCAGCCTGAGTAACAAGAGCGAAACTCCGTCTCAAAAAAAAAAAAAAAAAAAAAAAAAAAAGAAGATGAGCAACACGGTAGAAGAGGGATCCACCACTCTCAGAAATAGCTCTGTAGAGTTGGGAGCTGAACCACAGGGCCAAATGCCTCCTCCCAGGTGGACTCACTGAGCACATAGCAGCTGCTACTGTTCCAGCTGGGACCTGGTATCACATTCATCACATCACTGATGATGACATTCATCATGATGACATTCATAATTTCAGTTGTACTTTGAGCAAATGTGGAACCCTACTTATTTTCAGAGTTTACTCCCTTAGATTTTTTTTTTTTCTGTCCTGGTCCTGTAGAATCAGAGGAGGTGGAAAACACATACCAGGTATACGAGTATCATGATCATGATTCTTACCTCGGAGGAAAACAGATGTACCCCTTTCACCAGCTGCCAACAGAAATGGAGCTCTGCTGAGATTGACAGAGAGTGTAGACCGTCTCCCTTCCCCAGCTGGGCTGGTGCTTGTCCTGACCCACACAGACGGCCTTTTGAGTTAGATTGGGCGTTCATTTTCTCTAAGTCAGATGGCTATTTGAGAAAGCTCAGTGGACCCTCTTTTTCATAAATTTGCCTGGGTTTCAGTTTTTCCATCCATAGAATGAGGAAGTTGTCATAGATAATCTGGGGATTTGTTTCCAGCTTTTACAATTCCACAATTCATTGTTTTCTGTCCTTTCATGGTTCTTATTTCAAATTCCCAAATTATTATTCTTACGTTTGTGGGTGCAGAATGAGCAGTGAGCCTCTTGTCCCACAGCTAAATGGCACCCTTTATTGAAAAAATATATATGTTGGAAAAACAGATCTCAATTGCGATGAAATAAATGACAGCCACTTTCAAGGCCCCAATAACTGAACAATTACAGGAAAGCATTGAATCTTATGCCAGCACGGCTGCTGCAATCAGAGAGGCCTCAGTACAAAGAATATTTATATGTTGGGTTTCAGAATAAGTGCTCAAGAGCCTCATCTTGCGATGTTATCACAAGAATGTCCAGACAATGTTTTCTTTAACTCCAGGAAGAGTGATTTAGAAGGTCGGATCTTGCCACATGTGTCCAGCTGGGTATTCATTGCTCTTGAAAAAGAATTATTCTGTAAACACAGAAATATCCAAGAATGGTTACTTGAAAGATGATCCTTTCTTTGCTTACAGTTGTCAGGACCATGTATACTCAATAGTACAAAAATAATAAACACTATCAAATTTACTATAACAGTAAACCAGGCAACAGTATTTTATTTGCATCAGAAGGTCTGATTCTGGGATTTCACTCTCCTATCGTTTGAAAACTGCAAATTGAATCAAGTTTTCTTAGAGTCTGGGAAACCTTGCTGAGAGTTACATAGCCAACCAGTGTACCTATTTTCTTTTTCAGAGACAGAGTCTTGCTCTGTTGCCCAGGCTGGAGTGTGGTGGTGCAATCTCAGCTCACTACAACCTCCACCTTCTGGGTTCAAGTGATTCTCCTGCCTCACCCTCCCACCTAGCTGGGACTACAGACTTGTGCCACCACGCCTGGCTCATTTATTTTTCTTTTGTATTTTTAGTACAGATGGGGTGTCACCATGTTGGCCAGGCTGGTTTTGTACTCCTGACCTGAGGTGATCCACCCTTCTTGGCCTCCCAAAGTGCTAAGATTACAGGCATGAATGACCACGCCCAGCCCAGTGTGCCTATTTAACAACAGAGAAAACTTTCCACTTTTAGCCAATGGAATATTTCCGTTTATTCCTGAAGAAAATTGTCTGTGTTTTTAATGCCCTACGGACTTTTCTCCACCGCAGCTATTCCTGCGGTAGGCTTTTTCTCTCCAGGATCGTTCTAACATGATTTTATAGGAACGGTCATAGAGGAGGGGCCCGTCCCTTACTGCTCATGCATGCCATGTATTCATCCTAGAAAAATGCCATGTGCTGGGCGTGGAGTTGCATTTTTTTAAACTCTTATTTTAGGTTCAGGGTACCTGGGTAGTTTGTTATACAGGTAAACTCGTGTCACAGGGGTTTGTTATACGTATTATTTCATCACCCAGGTATTAAGCCCAGTACCCAATTGTTATCTTTTTTGGCCCTCTCTCTCCCATCCTCCCTCTCTGCTCAAGTAGACCCGTGTCTGTTCCCCTCTTTGTGTCCATGTATTCTCATCATTTAGCCCCCACTTCCAAGTGAGAACATGCAGTATTTGGTTTTCTGTTCCTGCATTAGTTTGCTAAGGATAATGGCCTCCAGCTCCATCCATGTTCCTGCAAAGGACATGCTCTCATTCTTTTTCGTGACTGCATATAGTATTCCATGGTGTATATGTAGCACATTTTCTTTCTCCAATCTGTCATTGATGGGCATTTAGGTTGATTCCATGTCTTCCGTATTGTGAAGAGTGCTGCAATGAACATTCATGTACATCTGTCTTCATGGTAAAATGATTTGTATTTCTATAAATGGGATTGCCAGGTCAAATGGTAGTTCTGTTTTTAGCTCTTTGAGGAATCGCCGTACTGCTTTCCACAATGGTTGAACTGATTTACATCCCCACCCACAGTGTGTAAGTGTTCCCTTTTCTCTGCAACCTCACCAGTGTCTTGTTCCTATTGGAAGAGCTCTTTCCTGTTGCCCAGAGAGCCATTAACTGCAGCCACTGCATTTCTAAGTGTTTGATGTCGTTGCTCTGGGAAGTGAGCATTTCCCTTTATCCAGCTCTCAGGGTACCTGGGCAGCTGCAGGGTAATCTTTCCCACAGGGAGCAATGATTATCATCCTCAGGGACTTTGGCAGTTTTTCTTGTGCAAGGTCAGATCGCACTTCCCAATGCAATACCGAGGCCAAGGTAAGAGTACCCTCATAGGATCTAATCTCAGGTTTCCCAAGTCAGATCTCCCTCCCTTTTGCCACTGTGGTTTCTTCCTATGCAAATCATGAATCATAAAGAGGAGCTCATGGAAAATCTTTTTATAGCAATGGACATATTATTTCTATGCCTGCCTTTCTATTTTGGGGGCAGGGAGAAGGGGAAGATGCAAGACCGGGTCACAGCTAGACAGGATGGGGGCTCCAGCACCAGCTCTTACCTGTATTTAAAACTGAGATAGCTTTTTCTGACACAGTCAAAAATAATTTGTGCTTTTCAAGAAATGGAATGTGGCTGGGTGCAGTGGCTATGCCTGTAATCCCAGCACTTTGGGAGGCCGAGGCAGGCAGGCGGATCACCTGAGGTCAGGAGTTTGAGACCAGTATGACCAACATGGTGAAACGCTGTCTCTACTAAAAATACAAAAATTATCTGGGCATGGTGGTGTGCACCTGTAATCTCAACTACTCAGGAGGCTGAGGCAAGAGAATGGCTTGAACCCAGGAGGCAAAGGTTGCAGTGAGCTGACATTGTGCCATTGCACTCCAGCCTGGGCAAAAGAACAAGAAAAAAAAAAGAAGTGGAATGCATTCAAACACAAAACTACCCCAGCTAATTAAAAATAAATGGGGGTGTGGTCACTGAAAATTATGACCTTTTAAAGGGTGAGTTTTAATTATTCACCCGGAGGAATTAGTCACATTTCAGCTAAAATGACAGAGGGCAGGACTGTTAATGCCTTTGCGTGCACCCGCTTCAGAGAGTGCTCAATGGGACCTGGATTTTCTCTTCTTTTTGATAGGTTGCTGAAAAGCCAAGGGTCAAAATGACCGAGCGCTTTGACTGCCACCATTGCAACGAATCTCTCTTTGGCAAGAAGTACATCCTGCGGGAGGACAATCCCTACTGCGTGGCATGTTTCGAGACCCAATACGCCAACACCTGCGAGGAGTGTGGGAAGCCCATCGGCTGTGACTGCAAGGTAGCTACTTCCGGCCTCTGCGGGTCCCCGGTGCTCCCCCAAGAAACCCGGGCTTCTCTGTGGTTTGTGCTGAAGCCCTGATCCACCATCGAAATCTGTCTGTTGAGCCCTCTCCCATGGGTGTGGACCCTGCACATATCCTTTCGGAGCTTCTTCCCTCTACCCTCTTCCCTCTTCCCTTCCCTCTACCCTGGGTGATCTGTGTCCACAAGCACCGAGTGAGGGCCTTGCCAGGACTTCTGTGCTTAGTGTCTTAAGAACACTTTCTGTATTCTAGTTATTAGTGCCCTTATCTAACCACCCACCTGCCTACCAGTACTGGACCTTTCTTAAGGGCGGTGCTCTCTTTCTCCTGTCGGTTTGCCCCGCGGTGAGGAACGCGGTGCTGTGCTCAGTCAATATTTGATGAATGAATGTGTACATTAGAGAACGAGAGTTGGTTCCTAGATAAATGGGCACGTAGAAGCACAAAGTCCTTGGAGGATTGTGGGCTCTTTTCCTTTAATGAGAGAAGGACAGGATTGGTATTGTTTCCTTCCAGTGGGGAACGTGTTCACCACACGGAACAGCGGGATGGCACAGCGTGGTTCAGCAGAGGCCACTGGTCACTTGTGCCCCACGGTTAAGGGTGGTGAACCCTGACCTGCACTTCTCAGCAGACCCTTCTTTCATCCTGGGCCGCTGAAGGACAGGCTGGGAGCCCATCCATAGCTCTGAGCTCTCCGATCCCTTTACCTGCTAACAGTTGCTAAAACAGGCCAGAGAAACCCCTCATGTGGCTGTCATCATGAGTGATTTGGCCAGGAACTGGGTACAAAATGAGGTTCCTTTGGGATTCCCAACTGAATGGGCACCAAGTCAGTTCATGGCGTTTTCCTATCTCTTTTCTACTCTTGTTGCTTTGTGCTCTGTGGGGATTTTTGCCGCTCTCCTCTCTAGTTGTTAATATCAGCATACTGCTGCCGACTGATTGACTTAGGCTACGCCTGCCGTTGGATCATTCTAGCACATCCAACATGTGTTCCTTCTCTTTCTCTCTCTGATCACATCATTCTTAGGAAAGATAGGAATCAGAAGTCTGCACTATCACTTTCTGTTCCTAGGGATTTAGTGACAGTTGAGGGATGGTTTCCATCTTGTGGCGAAAGAGACCTCTGCCCTGAGCAGAGGCAAAAGATGTACAGCACCGGCCCCTGAAACCGTGCAGCAGTCCTGTGTCTGTAGGCGTCAGGGCAGATGCTGTGCTGAATGTGAAAGAAACGAAACTCAGTAGTGGTATTGTGCCACACCTTTGAAATACCATGAGCAAAAATAGCTGATCTGGCTATTCTAAAAGTTGCATGTCTTCCTCTGTCCCTTCTGCCTGCTGCATGTCTCACTGTACCTGGTGAACTTTCTCAGTCCCTTTTCATGTATTTAACAGGCCAAGCAGGAGAGCTCAGCCACCAGCCCGCCCAGTTCCAGCTCGGGCTCTGTGTCTCATTTGCTGTGTGGCCTTGGGTCAGTTACTTGAACCTTCCGTGCACTGTTCCACACCTACAAAATGGGGAGAAGCAGGCCAGGCGCATAGGCTCAATGCTTGTAATCCCAGCACTTTGGGAGGCCAAAGTGGGTGGATCACTTGAGGCCAGGAGTACAAGACTAGCCTGGCCAACATGGCACAACCCTGTCTTTACCGAAAATACAAAAATTAGCTGGGTGTAGTGGTGCATATCTGTAATCCCAGCTACTTGGGAGGCTGAGGCATGAGAACCACTTGAACCTGTGAGGCAGAGGTTGCAATGAGCCGAGATCATGCCACTGCACTCCAGCCTGAGAGACAGAGTGAGACTCTGTCTCAAAAAAAAAAATGGGGGATCTGCTTCATAAGATGGCTCTAATATGTAGATACAAGCCCTCACTCTCTACTAGCAGCTGACAGGGTGAGCTCCAGACTGCCACCTTTCTGCTCACTGCTTCCTTATTCTTTTTGTGACACATCCCTTCCACGCACCTTTCAGAAGCTTCACCCTCTCTCTTTGTTGCTTTGCATTTTGGAAACATCAATAAAAATGTCCAGTTTGAGGAAGAACTAGATAGCCAGAGAAAAATACAATTATTTCATAAAAGCTTTACCTGGAAAAGAAAGAAATGCTTAGGTAGGTGAGAGGTTCAGATACCATCTGGCAAAAAGTAACTCTTTCAGTGACAGATTTTGGATATTTGGGGCTAATCATCCCTGATCAGTGGCTGAAATAAAAACAAAACAAATATCATTTGCCATTTCTCCAGTGATTTAGTGGAAAAAAACCCTTAAAAAACCAGTCATCCTTCCACACGTGTTTTATGAGCAAATAAACAAGAGTCTCCCAAGTGGAGCCAAAATAATCAAGGCTGCTGTCATGCCAGGAGGGAATCAAACTGAACTTTTCAACCCGGATTAATGTTTAGAGATACGTGGGATTACACTGTGTGATGGTCTACATTTTGGAACAAAAAGAGACACTGATTTGAAGCAAGACCTTGGCATTCAGGGCTTTTGATGCTTTAGGCGTGATTTTCTTGACCTTCAAAAATAATCAGATAGTTGGGTTTGTAGTGGAAGCAATGACAGAAAAACTTCCCATTTTTTCTGGAAGTAAAGCCTACAATCCTGGCAGGTGGGGAGATACCTGATAGAGGAACTGTGCTTTTAGGTCTGGTGGCCAGTCTCTTCTCTTAAAATAGCACAGCCACCACGGGCGTCAGCTGCTTCTCTCTGAAGGACGCGTTCATGTGTGGAAATTTTCAATGCTGGCATGCCTGTGAGAGTTAGGCTAATTTTGAGAGTCCTGACCAACTTATAGGAGACAGACAAGACGTCAGAGCCTGTTCTACAGGTTGAATGTCCTCTCTGTGTAGTCACTGAACTGTAATCTTTATTTCTGTGAAGTCACTCTGGGAAAATGCTGTGATCTCAAAGGGTAAAGATTATTGATTTGTATGGCCAGTGTAACTAACAGTGGAGAGCAGGCATACTAATACAATTTTATCTGATATTATACTCTTCCTGAATGTTTTCCTGGACACCTGTTAATATCAACAAAATATTTTTGTAGACTGATTACAGATTTTTGGGGGGAATCTAACTACATTCTAACCTCCAAAAATTCAACAAACTAAAGAAAAAATAAGGCTGGGCATGGTGGCTTATGCCTGTAATTCTAGCACTTTGGGAAGCCGAGGCGGGTGGATCACTCGAGGCTGAGGTGGGTGGATCACTTGAGGCCAGGGAGTTGGAGACCAGCCTGCGTCTTATTTATCTTTGTATCTTCAGCACTTTTCGTGACATTAGACACATAGTTCCAGCTCAACCAATGTTTTTTTAATGAATGAATGAAGCAATCAGGTATTTATGGGATTTTAAAAATGCAAGCGGCTCATGTCTGTAATCCCAGCACTTTGGGAGGCCGAGGCGGGTGGATCATCTGAGGTCAGGAGTTTGAGACCAGCCTGGCCAACATGGTGAAACCCTGTCTTTACTAGAAATATAAAAATTAGCGGGGCGTGGTGGCTCATACCTGTTATCTCAGCTACATAGGAGGCTGAGGTAGGAGAATCACTTGAACTTGGGAAGCAGAGGTTACAGTGAGCTGAGATCACACCACTGCATTCCAGCCTGGGTGACAGAGCAAGACTCCATCTTAAAAAAGAAAAGATAGGCTAACCAGTAACTCCAGAGATGGTTATTAATACTGCGCATTTAACAAATTGGTGATTTTCAGCCCTGGGCAACACACCTAACTCAGATTTTGAATGTTCATGGCTCTGCCAGCAATCCCATGAAATTGAACAGGCTGCCACACCTACCCTTATGTTTAGAGGGTGCTACAAAGAGAAAAAAAAAATAATAAACAAAAACAAAAGATCTGCAGATCAAAAACTAGCATTCAGGGTTTCATTTCCAGTGGTAGTCATTGGAACCACTGTGTGTCACATGATGACTTGTTCCAGGCATATTGTAAATGCCTAAACTGCATGATCTAAATTCCTCCTAACACTCTTTAGGTAGGAACTCTTTTCATTCCATTTTATGGTGAAGCTGCTGAGGCCTAGAGAGGACGAGGATCTTGCCCAGGGTTAACGGAATTAGGAAGTAGCCGAGATACAATTTGAGCCCAGACCCAGCGGGTCCTCACCCAGCATGCAATGCTGCCTGCCACCTGCAGCCTCAGGGAGGGCCCTGTCTATGCAACTCTTGGGCCAGCTGTGGTCAGTTCTTAAGAGTAAGAGGTGGTGACCACATGGCCTCTATCAAGTGACTTTCAGTCAAAGGCCCTTACTCTTCTCCCGGGCCCCTTTCGATGGTGATGATTACACTGCAGAATTGAGGCTTAAGTTATTTCTCAAACTTTCTTTCCAGCTTTTGTAGTTAATTAAATAGGAAACATTGAAGCGATGATCAAATTGGCACAAGTTTACCCATCATGCTGTAAAAGTGTCCGTTAATGTTTGGTAATGGACAGAAAAGTTCATTGGTATTTTGGCAGAAAGCAATCTGGTGGGGCTCTGAAATAGGAGACGAAGGCACACATTCAGGTTAAATCTAGATGCCCCTGGTATATTTTGGAAGGTTTCTGACCAAGGCTAGTGAAAGGTGTAAGGTCAGGTCTGAAAAATCCCTCCTTCTGTCCGTGGTGTGACAGGTCTCTCCCGCTGGTCTTTCTAGACCTTTTTCTGGGAAGAGCACCTACTCCAGTCACATTCTCACAATCCAGCCTGCCAACCTGGTGCTTTTTTATTTATTGGGGTGGTTTGTAAGTTCTCAATGCGCAAATTACCTTTTTAAATCTTCCATGTCGAATTTGTTCACAGAGTTTGTAACATGCATTTAAAACGTGTATTTATTCGGATTTCCTCCTACAAGACAAAAGTCTGTTTCTGAAGGGAATTTAATCAAGCAGGGTCCTAGGATCAGGAGCAAAGCTGTCTGGATGAAGTCCATAAGAAGGACCTGTCAGCACATGAAGCCAAAAGTTCAGCCACAAGGCACAGCAGCAGAGTGCACAGCGCCCAGCAGTGACGCCGCATGCACCACAGCCGGACACCGGAGCCAAATCTGCCTGGTTCCACCTTCAACGAGCTGCACCAGGGGCAAGGCCTGCCATCCATGTCTCTGTTTCCACATCTATAAACTGGGGTTCCTAGCTCAAGGGACTGTCAGGAACTGAGTGAGTTAACGTCTAGGGAACACCTATGAAGGGCCAATACAGAGCTGTCATTTCTGCTGCTGTTCATTTTTCCACATCTTCATTTGTAAGGATTTGCAAGAATGTGCAGTTGGAAGCCTGATGAGCTGAAAGCATAGAATATCTTTTCATAATGCTGAGCATGGATGACACAAGAGTCCATTTCTGAAGTGAAACTGTGTGGATTTGAAGAATGTTTGGTCTCAGCCCAGGTGGATTGGGGTGTGAAGGAGGGAGGATGAGAGCCAGCTGCTTCAGTCTGGGTGACCTGCCACCGAGAGCTACCTTCCATGAGCTGAGGGGTCCAGGGCTCCCTCCAGGCCACTTGCCACTAAGGCTCAGCCAAAATTTCAAAAAGGACACATTTGAAACCAAGCAACAAGGACAGCCCATGTTAGGAATGTTTCTGAAATGGAAAAATATCAAACGAGAAAGGAAGTGTGTGGGCCTAATCTTGCATGTTTATCAACGTTTCACTGCAATGTATGACATTTATGTGTGCACAAGATTAGCCTTGGTGTTTTTTCCTGGGAAGTATGACTTTTTTTTTTCCTTCTTTTTGTTTTCAATTTCTCTCTAGGGGAATTTAAAACCAGATATTTCCATCTTAAAGTTCTTGAGTAAGCCTGTCAGGGTGTCCGTATTTCTTACCCTGCTGCCTCTCAGCGTCTAACTGCTGTCTCTGTTACGCTCACTTTTGCTGTTCACAATGGAGTGCTAAGGAAATAGCAAAATTAAGCTAGACAAGACTGGCATGGTGCTAATAACTGAAACTAAAAATCAGTTTGGACCTTTTCTGTTTGAAAAGGGTCATTTGAGCCGGGCATGGTGGTTCATGCCTGTAATCCCAGCGCTTTGGGAGGCTGAGGCAGAAGGATCACTTGAGGCCAAGAGTTGGAGACCAGCCTGGGCAATATAGCAAGACTCCTGTCTCTAAACAGATAGATATAGATAGACACAGAACAGATAGAAGAAAAGAAAGGGTCACTTGGCACTAGGTCTTCACAAGTAAGGATTCAGAGTGGGGTAGGAAGCATAGGCTCGGGCACCTGGGTCTAATCAATGATCATCTTGCTTCTAGGCCTTTTGGTGGCATTTTCCAGTCCACCTCTAAGCTCCAGGGAATCGTGTGAGTAAAATCTTCCCTCCTGCTGAGACTTAGAGACTGCCATGTTGGCCAAGATCTCTAAAAAAATCAAAGTGAGCGGTATTGAGTTACCTTCCTCTTACCATTAAAGTCTTTCCTCACTTCCTCCTTATTGTGAACTTTCTTAAGAAGTGAGCCCAGGAGGAAGCAGTGACGTGAACTTATTAACTTGACTCAGACTTCTAAAGAGAACACAAACGGGGAGCCCCATTCAGAGAGTGACAACGAATCCCCATGACATAATGAGTTACCTATGAGTTTTCCAAATAGGATTTGCAAAGAGGCTTACAACTAGGTAGTCAGCGTAGCACATGGCTTCTCTGCAGCCAGCATTGCCCTGGCCGAGGAAGCTTTGTAGAACAGATGAGATTTGAGCTAGGCCTTGCAGCCAGGAGGGATATGGCCTTTTGGGGAGGAGGGAAAGGGCATTTCAAGGCTAGGGACAGAGTATGGTCAAAGGCATGGAGATGAGGAAGATGGGACCAGAGCAGAGGGTCAGGTTGGAAAGTGAGTTGGGGTCAACTTGCAAAGGCGCTGACGTGCCAGGTGAGAAAACAGGAGCACAGTTTAGTTCTGTGGATCATTTCAGGTGGAAGGGCAGTGGGAACGTGGAAGAAAACAGCTTTTTGGTGTCATTACATTGAATTGGCTCATCTAGAAGAATAAAACCTTATTTCATAGAGTTATTGCATGGCTCCAAATAGTTACGAAGAATTAAGAATAAGAATTTTAGATTTAAAAGGGCTGAGAAAAGGAAAAACAGCATATGCAAAAGTAGAGTGGTAGAGTTACCAATGTGTCACTTTAAGATGGTAGCAATTCTAATCGATAGGACTGTCTTCATAAGGAAATGTAGGTTCAGCAAGTGACACATTGAGGCAACTCTTCTCATTATTAGCTGTGATCTAAATAATGGCTTATACTAACATCCATTGAGCAATTGCAATACACAACAGCAACTATTATACATGCTTGTCACAATATGCAGTGTATATTATTCCTGCTGTACAGGTCAGAAATCTAGTGAGAGAGGTTCAGTTACTTGCCCATGGTGATGTAGCTGGCATAGGGCAGAGCCAGGATTTAAGTTTAGTCAGTCTGGCCTTTGGGCCCTTGAATTGAACCCCTAGGATGAAATACCTGAGCAATTTAATCATGTGCTCCCGGGATTCCAGAGGGGCACTTGGCCCACAGTGGTACAAGAGATGTGGACTGTGGGACCCCAGGCTCTCCCATCCTGTTTGCATACGGCAGGTGTTCAGGTATTGCTGGCCCAGGAAGTCCATCACCCTGTATTGCAGCAGGGAGGTGGGCCAGTTCTGTTCCTACTGAGGACCCACCAACAACAGTGATGCAAGCTTGTTTATGGAGTATTTTCAGTTATTGTGCACCGCAAAACTTAAGAATGTGAGCATAGGTTAATATTTACCTTCGGGGAAAAGAGTTTCCTGTAGGTTTTAGAATTAGGAACTGCTGCATGCGTATTCACTCAGGAATGCGTGTGTGTGCAATTCATAGAGGTAGCTAAGAGAAACATTGTGCAGTTAAGTGCAGACGGCCCCAGGGAATGATGCCGAGATAACGCAGCCCTGGGCAGGAAAAGGTGCTTTGTGGAAGGCACTCTGTCTCCTGTTTGTTACGACAAAACCTGGATCTCTGCATGTCCCAACCCGATTGGGATGGGGAGCACTTTCAGGTGTCCACTCTACACCAGCCTTGAAGGGAAAGGGCAGCTTCTGGCAGGAGCCAAAGGCAAAGTGGTTCCCAGGGAATATAGCAGAGCAGATTGTCCTGGGAGAACACAGCCTGCACTTTGTGAGGTGGGATCCGAGAGGGCAGGTGGAAGGGACCAGCTGGGCCTGTGGAAGGTCTCCAAGTCTTGGCTGGATGCTTAGTCCAGCAACATGTGGACAGTATCCATATTTAGAGGGACAATTTCAAGCGTCACATGTCTCTGTCAATCAATCAGTCTTAAACTGTAGCTATTGCATTTTTGTGACATAAATATTAACCGTAGGAAAATGGAATTCTGCAGTGCCTTGGATCCGTGCGCATGTCTTAGCCAGGTTTCCCATGTCTGTGCAGGCACTCTTTCCTCTGTCTGGAGACTCAGTGATCAGAGCACGGGCTGTGGTGACATCTGGTGGCTTCGCTCTCATGTTGTTGACCTTGGAGTTTTCTCCCTCAGTTTTTCTTGAAGGTCAGCCCCAAAAGGCACATTTCCTAGAAACTGTATCTCCTTTGCTTCCTTTGTCACTGATAACTTGCCGCCCCACTGTGTGCAATGGCTGCTCTCTGGGCAGGGTACCTGACGTGTGGCAGTCACCATCTTCACAGAGGGAGGCCAAGGATCTCCTCGCCTCTCCCTGCGCCTGCTCCTCGGGTCTCTTATCTCAGCTGATCGGTGACTCGTGAGTCATGGAAAACATTCTGTAGCTTTTCCCCAAACGAGCAGTCCTCTATGACGTGGCTCGCCTGCACAGGGGGACAAAGATAAGTTCTGGAAAGGTGGAAACGGACCCTTTTTTTTGAGACAGAGTTTCACTCTTGTCACTCACGCTGGAGTGTAATGGCATGATCTTGGCTCACTGCAGCCTCTGCCCTCCAACTCCTGGGTTCAAGTGATTCTCCTGCCTCAGCCTCCTGAGTAGCTGGGATTATAGGCGTGCACTACCACTCCCGGCTACTTTTTGGTTTTTTTTTAGTAGAGACGGGCTTTCAGCATGTTGTCCAGGCTGGTCTTGAACTTATGACCTCAGGTGATCCACATGCCTCAGCCTCCCAAAGTGCCGAGATTACAGGAGTGAGCCACCCTGCCTGGCCAAAACGTACTTTTTTATTCTTTTAATTCTGGCAAAATACACAGAACATCACAATTATCATCTTAACCACTGTTAAGTGTACTGTTGAGTAGTAAGTGCATTCAGATTGCTATGTAACCAATCCCCAGAGCTTTTGCTTGTTGCAAAACTGAAATATTGTCCCCATCAAACCCATTTATGCCTGATACTCCATTATTGGAATGCTAAGCATGTGGGAGTTATGTATATCCTACTGCTCAAGGTCGCCGCCAAGGTCTGATTGCAAAAATTCGAAAAACTGCATCCTGGGGCATGAATGGGTTAAACGCTCACTCCCATTCCCCTCTCATCCCAGCCCCTGGCAGCCACTCTTCTACTTTCTGTCTTCATGAATGTGACTTCCCTAAGTATCTCACATATGTGAAGTCATGCAGTATTTGTCCTTTTGTGACCGATTTGTCATTTCACAAAGCATCTTGTCCTCAAGATTCATCCATGTTGTAGCGTGAGTCAGAATTCTTTTCCTTTCTAAGGCTGAATACAATTCCATTGCATGCATAGAACACGTTTTGTTTACTCCTTAAACTGTGGATGGACGCCTGGCTTGTTCCTACCTTTCAGCTACGGTAAATAATTCTTCGATAAATGTGTACAAATGTCTCTTTGAGACCTCACTTTCAATTCTTTTGGGTGTATATCTAAAAGTAGAATTGCTGAGTCAAGTCATATGGTAATTCTACTTTTAATATTTGAGAACTACCATACTGTTTTCCATAGAAAATTTATTCTTAACACATTTCTTCCACAGTCAGCATTCTAACAGCGATAATATGATTAACATCTCCATCTCTTCTTAAATTAGGCTGATTACTGTTTTGGGTGGATAGGGGTTCTAATGGTTTGTTCAATTTTGTTTGAAGTCTAAACAAAGGCAATGCTGAGCCACATTTATTTAGGTACAAAATACATTCTCAAAAGTTCCGAGAGTTTGGTTGTTTCTGGATTTTTTTTAATGGACACACACACATCTCCTCAAAGCTACGTGTTTTGAAAGCAAAGAGTCACACAGACCCAGCCAGGATTTTGCCTGGGCTGGTTCAGTGGAAATAGCTTCTGCATCAGGAGGACTTGAGCTCGAAGCCTGGCTTAGCTCTGTGCCAGGTATGTGACTGGGCAAGTTACAGAACTTCTCTGACCTTTAGTAATAACATTTACCTTGCGGGGCTGTGCCATGCCTGGAGCTCACAGACGGGATCATGATGGTCATCACTAGTGTAACAGATGTCTTTTTGAAGCTGAGGCGTGTGCATGGAAAGAATGGAGACCATGCCTACTCCCGAATGATGATGATGTCCTGTGGACTGTGGGCTTTGCTGTTTATCAGGAGTTTGCATGTGTAGACATCAACTCAAATCAAAGCAATTTTTACGCAATTTCATTTGTCAAAATAACCAATAAAGCACAAGTGATTTTCCCCTCAGATTTCTTAAAATATGTTAAGCTAAAGATACAAAAGACAGGTTAGCACCTTGCCCCCAACTCCCAGTCCATATCAGTTTGGATTTTCAAGGATGGAGAGGGCCTGGGCATTTCAGCAAGCTCTCCCTGAGTTCCCCTGAGAGGCAGTGCCTACCTCTCGGGACCCATGATACCCAGAGGTGCTGGGCTTAAACGAGAACTAATCCCACAGAAACAACGGCATTCAGTACGGCTTTACAGAGTCTCCCTCTGTTGCCCAGACTGTGCAACCTCCACCTCCCAGGTTCAAGTGATTCTCCCACCCCAACTTCCCAAGTAGCTGAGACTACAGGCACGCACCATCACACCTAGTTACTTTTTGTATTTTTAGTAGGGATAGAGTTTCACCATGTTGGCCAGGCTGGTCTCAAACTCCTGACCTCGGGTGATCCACCCACCTTGGCCTCCCAAAGAGCTGGGATTACAGGCGTGAGCCACCATGCCCGGCCTCATCTTAATTCTTTATCATCTCGTGTCAGCAATAATCCTATTCCCAGATGTTCTAGGAGGCAAACTTCCAACAGGGATACTGCAAGAGGGTGCCCCTCACAGAGGCCAAAGTCATAACTGTCTTCATAGTGGCTGAGAGTTCACATTTTTTAAATTCCTTGAACTAAAACAAAATGCGCAAAGAGAACACCAAATCAAATAACTTTAGTTTGGTTCAGGGAAAACAAACACACACGCACGGGAAGAGAGAAAGAAAGAGAGATTTTAGCAAAAGAGAGCTGTTCTAGTTTGGGTTCCGAATTTAGTTGGTGTTTTAGGACTTTCTAATCAAGTCCAGGATCCATGTTTTCACATCCTACGCTCAGCACAACTCCAGCTTTGACTTCGGTTTCAGTAACAGAGACAACATGGGCAGCTCTTCTGCATGGCCATCGCATGAACAGCCCTCCCACGACCTGTTCAGGATACCTACCAACTGGAAGCCGGCCCAGGAAACTCTGCAGAGCCTAATATTCTGTTTCTCCCTCATTAATAAATGGACGATGATTTGGGGTCAGAGCTGGGAAAACAAAGACAGCAATAGAAAAATATCCTTTCTAAGATAAAGCTGGACATAAATAGATTGTTATTTTAATTTTGTATTGGCACTTTAAAAATGCTGTGTGTCATTTTTAAAAGGCAGATATGGAAGGTTCTCTTACTCCTCAGGCAACATCAAGCCAAGTATGGAGTCGAGTTTTCTGTGGGGCTCCTTTCTCTATCTCATCTTTTACTCAAAAGCTTGTGTCTATCTTCTCAGTGCTTCTCCCATCTGTGCCCAGTTTTTGTCTCACTTCTCCCACCCTCACCCCTCTCCACTTCCACGTCCTTACCCATCCCCTCAGTCTGAGCACTTCACTCTCCTGTTGAAAAGCAGCTCACCACTGCCTTCAGGATCAACGGAAACTCTATGCAGGCATAAAAGGCAGAAAGGCAGTCACATATCCCGGACCAGCCTGGCCGGGGGTCCTCCCACCTTGCCCTTGACCTGTGGTCCCTCCAGCCTGACAGGCTTCCGGTCCCCAGATCTTCTGTCTCTGCTCTTTGTCTGCCTGAAATTCCCCTCCTCCCCGAGCTCACTGCTACCCACAGAAGCGGCACCCACACGAGCAGTCTCTCCTGATCCTCTCCCACCAAGCAGTCTTTGGGCCTCCTCCTCTGAACATTCCGACACCCAGAGCCTTTCTGCCATGTTGGTGACCACAGTGATTTCAGTTGGGCAGAGCTCCCTCAGCCCAGAACTCCTCTTGCAGTCTGTTTCTCTGTCACTGCATGTGATATGAGACGCATTGATACATGTTCACATTTTCTGTTTCTCTTTCTTGAAGGCCATACCTAAGGGAAATCCCTTTGTTTTTCAGAAGCTTCTTTCATACAGAGCCATGTGCCTGCATGCACATCTATCTAACTTGTTGCTCCAAAATGCAGCAAGAGAGAAATAGACTGGTCTCGCTGATTTCAGCAGTTAGGTGGTCCTGGTGCGTGACTGTGGGTGGATTAGGGTGCCCCAGCCCTCCTTCATTCCTTGTTTGCTCTGCAGGTTCGCAAGGGGCCCCTATGCTGTGGGTCCAAGCACTTCCACCCTGCCTCTGATTGTCTTGTGTGGTCTGGTCCCACAGGACTTGTCCTACAAGGATCGGCACTGGCATGAAGCCTGTTTCCACTGCTCGCAGTGCAGAAGCTCTCTGGTGGACAAGCCCTTTGCTGCCAAGGAGGACCAGCTGCTCTGTACAGACTGCTATTCCAACGAGTACTCGTCCAAATGCCAGGAATGCAAGAAGACCATCATGCCAGGTCAGGAGACACTCCTTTCTCATGCGTGAACCAGTCTAGCTTCAGGCCTTGTGCAGGTTCCTCTGACCCCCTGGTTCACATTGACTTGCTTCCAGACACTCGTGTTGACTTTCCAGTTTGACCTTGAACTACAGAGGAGTGTTTAGAGTACTTATGAAGCAGGGACATACGAGTTCTATCATGGGCAGGAACGGAATTTTATGCTGTGGTGTTCTGCAGCTGAATTATTATAGTAAGTGAATGGTAGGCATTCCCCTTAAAAATATGTCTCTTGCATCAGCCCCCATTTTCCCACCACCATAGATACTTTCTCTTTTCTTCTCTTCTTGCTGAATTTGTACTTAGTTATTTCAGCAAGTGTGCATGGCACCCTTGTGTGTCGGGCACTGGGCTGCAGCTGAGCGTTGATAGGGTGTGAGCCGAGGCTCACCTGGTCCTCTGCCCCTGTAGAGTTGGCGTTCTAGGCAGACAGTTAAAAGGGCACAGCCACAACTGGGCCAAGTGCCAAGGATGGCAATAAAGGTGCCTTGTGTGTTGATGGGTCTGTGACCCTTGTGGTTTCTGTGTGTGGGGTGGGGAGTGGGAGGGGGGAAGTTATTTAGCAAATGCAATAGCAAGATGTGTAAGAAGATCTGAAGCTGAGGGGTTTGAGTTTGTGGACTCAGTAGATCGGATATTAATTTTTAAAACTAAGGCAGCCTTCTGCATCCACCCATGTCCTACAGTAGCTGCACTCCCATGGGCACATATGAGGAGAACGAAAGCCAAGCGACCATCTAGTGTCAAACTCTCACTCTAGCGGAAGACTCTGCCGCTAGAGTTTCTGGGTGTTTGTAAGATGTTGGATGTGGTGGCTCATGCCTGTAATCCCAGCACTTTGTGAGGCCAAGGTGGGTGGATCACAAGGTCAGGAGTTCAAGACCAGCCTGGCCAACATGGTGAAACCCCATCTTTACTAAAAATACAAAAATTAGTTGGGCATGGTGGTGGGCGCCTGTAGCCCCAGGTACCGGGGAGGCTGAGGCAGGAGAATTGCTTGAACCCAGGAGGCTAAAGGAGGTTGCAGTGAGCTGAGATCACGCCATTGCACCCTAGCCTGAGCAACAAAGTGAGACTCCATCTTGGAAAAAAAAAAAAAAAAGAAGACATGCAGGATAAGAAGTATTGGCCAGGTACGGTGGCTCATACCTATAATCCAGCACTTTGGGAAGCAGAGGTGGGTGGATCATGAGGTTAAGAGATTGAGACCTGGCTAACATGGTGAAACCCAGTTTCTACTAAAATATAAAAATTAGCTGGGCGTGGTGGTGTATGCCTTTAGTCTCATCTACTTGGGAGACTGAGGCAGGAGAATTGCTTGAACCTGGGAGGTGGAAGTTGCAATGAGCTGAGATCGTGCCACTTCACTCCAGCCTGGTGCCTGGCAACAAAGCAAGAGCAAGACTCTGTCTCAAAAAAAAAAAAGTATCATTTTTAAAAAGGCAAGGAGATAATTTGACTTTTAATAAGATGGTTTCTTACTGCTACTACATTTCTCTGGTTAATACAACTCAAAAACAACTGTGACACACTATGGCAAGGAACAAAAATGCCCAGGCTGACACAGCCCTGTGGGCAGCTGTAAAGGAAGACAGCTGGAAGGGCTGCATGGTGACTTTAGATGGGGCAGCTCCAGGCAAGAAGGCTTCTTCCGAGATCCCCGGGATCCTGCAGAGGTTGGAAACTTGGGCCCCAGTGCTGTGTGACAGTACGAAAGAGAACTGAAGGCAGTAGAAAGCCAGGCTGACCTGTGTCCTGCCCCACAGGAGTCACTGCAGAGACAGCACTCCCGGTAGCACTAAGAACCACGACATTAATTGAAAAACAAATTAAATCCTTACTAGTCTTCTGAACAAGGACCCAAGGAAGCTTCCACTGGGGACTCTAGGGGCTGTTTAAGACTAGGAGCACGGTGGCTCACGCTTGTAATCCCAGCACTTTGGGAGGCTGAGGTGGGTGGATCACCTGAGGTCAGAAGTTTGAGACCAGCCTGACCAATGTGGTGAGAATCCGTCTTTAAAAAAAAAAAAAAAAAAAAGACTTTAACTGTTAGCACCAACCACGATATAGAAAGTATGCATATTTCTCCATTTCTCCGATTTTGAATTTTTCACTGGTCTTGACTTTCTGTGTTAGGTTCTCCAGAAAGCAGAATGAATCGAAGATATATATATATATATATATACACATACACACACACACACACACACACACACACACACACACACACATATGGAGAGAGAAAAAGATTTATTTATTTCAAGGGATTGGCTTATGTGACTGTGGAGGCCGATAACTCTGGAATCTGTAGAATAGGCCAGCAGTCTTGAGGTTCAGGGAAGAGATGATACTGCGGTTCTAAATGGTAGCATTTGAATTCCATAGGGCGGCAGTCTGGAAACTCAGGCAGCGTTTCTTTCTTGCAGTCTGGAAAGAATCAGTTGCCCTTCAGGAAAGTTTTAGTCTTTGCTCTTAAGGCCTACCACCGATTAGACAAAGCCCGGCCCTGATGCCTGGGTAGTGTGCTGCACATGAAGTCTACCGGCTTCGATGTTAATCACATCCAAGAAACACCTTCACGGCAGCAAGTAACCTGTTCTTTGACCAAACAACTGGGTACCATAGCCCAGCCACACGGACATATAAAATTAACTATCACACCTTCTCTTTCTCTTAGTATTTACTGGGGAGGGAAAGAAAAGACAAACATGATTAGATAAGAAGTAAAAACCCAATGTTCAGTGAGAGGTAACCTGTACTGAATATTTGAGAATTAACTGGCCTCCAGTCTCTTGTACTAAGGAAAGAGGGAAGCTGGAATTCAGGCTCTATGGTAAGAAATGCTGTGTAGTAATAATAACAACACAGTCACAGCTACCAGCCCCTGAGCGCACGCACAGGGCCAGATGCTCTGCTGCTTTACAGAATCCCATTTCACCTTCAGTGTCCCGAGTTGGATGTCTTCATCCCCATTTTACAGGTGCCTCTGCCAGAAGAAACAGACTGGGCACCAAAGACAGGGCATCTAGAAGAATCCTGGTGAATGCAAAACAAACAACCACCACCAACAGAACACTGAATCAAAGCATTTGCTAGCCTTGGTTTGATTTTTAAATGTGCTAGAACCCATTCAAGATAAATATGGGTTATAGCATCAGTGCACAGCTTTCACAGTGAATTTATATTTATAGGACTAGTGAAAAACTCACCCACCAGCTCTACACCCCAATACAAGTCAGTTTCCTGATGACTAATCAGGAAACTGGAATACCATCAGAAACCCCAGTGCTGGGGTTTACCAGCTCTCACTCCCCGGTTAGCAGACATTGCTTACAGATGCACCACTGCCTCTGAACAGACTCCAGTAGGGATACTGTCTCCAACCCTGCAACCAAATGTCTGGTTCCTTGTTTGACTTTTCTTTTGAGACAGGATTTCACTCAGGCTGGAGGGTAGTGGTGTGATCACTGCTCACCGCAGCCTTGACCTCTCTGGCTCAAATCATCCTCCCACCTCAGCCTCCTGCATATCTAGCACCACAGGTGTACACCACCACACCTGGCTAATTTTTTTTTTTTTTTTTGATAGAGACAGGGACTCCCTATGTTGCCCAGGCGGGTGGCCAACTTCTGGGCTCAAGAGATCTCCCGCCTCAGCTTTCCGAAGTACTAGGATGATAGGGCTGAGGCACTGCAGCCAGCCTCATTTGACTATTTGAATCAGATTAAGACATCCCTTCTTCAAGACTGCGCTTCTGTCTGCGAGAGACTTGGTTCAGTGTGCAATTGAGTTAGGAGAAGGAATGCTCCTGCCACCTGCAGGCGTTGCTGCATATGACCACGCAGGCCTGCGGCCACTGCTGTCACCATGCCTCCTGAGCACGCGCCACATCCCTGCGGTGCCGGGAACCCTGTGCATTCCCTGCACGTGCAGTTGGCCTCGCACTGGTGTTGATCTGATAAGACTTATTTCGGAACTCGCCAAGATGCCATGCACGCTCTTGCGTGGGGTCTTAGTGACAGTCATAATTGCACCATATTCATTGGCAAAATCCTTTGGCCTCTGGGCTGCTTCATCAGAATGAAAGAGATCCAAAGAGCAAGTGATAAAAGTATGCGTGGAGACTGAAGAAAATCTTTGTGGAGTGTACATCAAAGTCTTTCCACTATTTTTACTTGAATTTCAATTGTTTCATGCAATGTTTGTTTTAGGATTCATTACCCCACAATGGAATTCCGTAGATTGGACAGCTTAGTTTTGAATTTTAAGATCACTGCATGTCACCATCCCAAATTCCCTCTCATGCGTTGTCCCCCAACACACACCCTGCGTATTTTATATAATCTCAAATGTCTGGTCTTGGAAGTACAGGAAGCTGAGAACATGACCCTAAATAACAATCATGTGATAATTCTCAGCATATTCCTAATTACTGGAGGACAGACATTTCCTCACCAACTTCCTAGCCAGCTAAAATACAACTCCTAGCTTTGTCCTTGGGATCACAAGATTTTGGGGCTGAGAGCTACAGACTAGTCTGTAGACCTATAAGCCACCTGTGTTACCGCAGCTGCTTCCACCTGGTCTGGAGTAGGTGGTCCCGCTGTTGGCTTGATTCCCCATCACTCCCTAATCCCCAGTCGAAGTCATATGTATGATGCCACAGTCCCCAGGGATTGACAACATGTTTCCATCAAAAACCAGATAAATACTTGGGGCTTTGTGGACCACATAGTCTGTCACAACTACTCACCTACTGCAACTACAAAACGACTCTGCACACAGCTGCACTCTACTTTGCCATCTAGTGTGAAAGCAGATGTAAATGATGGAAGTAAATGAATGAGCATGACTGTGTTCCAATAAAACTTGATTTGAAAAGCAGGCAGCAGTTTGGATTTGGTCCTTACACAGTGTCTGGGCCCCTCGGCTACTCCGCGCATTTACAACACTTTCCTGTGTCTTTGTAAATGGTACTCCTTTCCCCAGATCTTTCTCCACATTTGCTTTATACGAAGGGTACTTGTTTATATGCCTATCTGGAATTATCCTTGCTATAAATAGATATGCTTCTTTTTGGTAAACAAAAATGAAAAAAGTATCAGTCAACAAACACTGATCATTTGCAGTGATTCCAGCTCTGTGGTCGCTGGGGGTGAGCCATAAGCATTTGAGTTCTCCAGGACTTCTCGATTCACTTGGAGAAATGGTAGAAACATATCAAATGCTAATAGTTATTCAAAAGATAGTAGATGGCACAGGATTAGGCAGTTACTAAATGGGATGAACAAATAATACATGTAGATTTCAGCCAGGCATGGTGGTGTGCACCTGTAGTTTTAGCTACTCAGGTTGATGCAGGAGTTTCCCTGGAGTCCAGATGTTCAAGGCTGCAGTGAGCCAGGATCACACCGCTGTACTCCAGCCTGGGTGACAGAGAGAGACCCTGTCACAAAAACAAAAAAAAAATTACATGTAGGTTTTAATTATAGCACTTAGCACAGTGCCTGAAACTACCAAGATATATCACAACGTGGTTCAACAGCTAGTATGTAAAGTAAGTGTTGTAGAGGCTGCTCACTGAATCAGGTTCAAGGTTCCAGGTTCATTCACACTCCAGCCATTTCCATCCTGCTGCGAACCAGATGGGGTGTTCATTATCAGGTGTGCAGTAGGTGAATACAGAGCCTATACTTCAAAATTCATGCTCCATAGAAATTCATCGGAGCTATGCCACACTTCTCTTTATATTTTGCATTGCTGAGAGAGACTTAACTTTTTTTAGATTTAACATTCCTAACCACGATATTCAATGAATAAATGTTAAGTTCCTAAAATGTACACGTGTTATTCTAGGAGCTGGGTGTACAGTACTGAACCAAAAGACAGCACTGCCCTGTAGAAAGTGGAATTGTCTCCATTCAGAGGGGAGCCTTCGAGAGCTGGAATGACTTGCTCTGGTCACAAAACTAGATGGCAGCAAGCTCTGAAGGTGGGTTGCTGGGACTCCATGCCCCTCTAACCATACATCTGCTGTGTTCCTCTTGACCCTGATGACAGGTACCCGCAAGATGGAGTACAAGGGCAACAGCTGGCATGAGACCTGCTTCATCTGCCACCGCTGCCAGCAGCCAATTGGAACCAAGAGTTTCATCCCCAAAGACAATCAGAATTTCTGCGTGCCCTGCTATGAGAAACAACATGCCATGCAGTGCGTTCAGTGCAAAAAGGTATCTCAGATTCCCCCTTGGCCCTCACATGGTCTGGCCGGTTTGTCTCCACAGTCCATGTCTGTCAGTTCTCTTTCCAAAAACAAGGATACTGGTGATACTTGAATGGCATGAGAGCTGTGCCTGTCCTGCCTTACATTCTGAGCATTTATCTGTTGAGTCTGTGTTCCCATCCTTCTTTCAAAGACATCAACACTGTTGCACTCTGTGAGCAAGTCGTTTAACCTTGACCTCTTCTAGACCACTTCTGAATATGTTTTCATGTTGATGACCTGATGTCAGCGGGAAGGGGAGCCACTATCCCAAAGCTGTCTTGTTCACTGCTCTCCATGAATAAAACAGGAAAACAACTGCAAACTTGAGAGGGAGAGAAAGATGGAAGGAAGAAGGAGGAGAGGAAGGGAGGGAGCGGGTAGGAGAGAGAGACGATGTGAGAAAAAAAGTAAAGGAGAAAAGGTCTGGCCACATGGATATGGGGCAGATCATTTATTAAATGCGTCTACTCTGGCTGTGCATGGTGGCTCACGCCCATAATCCCAGAACTGTGGGAGGCCAAGTCTGGTAGATTACCTAAGGTTAGGAGTTCAAGACCAGCCTGGGCAACATAGTGAAACCCCATCTCTACTAAAAATAAAAAACTTAGCCAGGTGTGATGGCACAAGCCTGTAGTACCAGCTCCTCAGGAGGCTGAGGCAGGAGAATTGCTTGAACCCGGGAGGTACGTTGCAGTGAGCTGAGATTGAGTTACTGCATTCACACCTGGGCAAGAGAGTGAGACTTCATCTCAAAAAATAAGAAAAAAACTAAACCTATCTACTCTATAATGTGGAGTTCCAGTCATGGCTCTGTTTGGGTTAAAGAAGGAAAGAGAACAGCACACCTGTAGGAAGCCGTCTCTCTCCTACCTGCCCTATTCCCCCCACCTGTACACTTTAGGGTATAGTTTAGTTTTCTGCTGTGCCGGCTGGCTCTTACACACATGCAACATTGATTATGCTACAGCTTCCAGCGTCTCTGTGCTGTTAGGATTTGTGCCAGCCTGTGGAGTGGCACCCTCCCACTGCTCACTCGCCCTGGGCAGTGCCAGCTATAGAACTCATTACAGACTCTGTTTGCTCTCATCCTTTTATCAGCTCTGCTCACCCAGATTCTACTGTTTTACCCTTGGGACCTCTACCCTTGCCTCTGGGCCATGGAGAAACATCCCCTATACCGCTACCTGGGCGAGAATGTGCTCACCTTGCCCGTACCTTTTCTAAGTGCTGAGTATTCTTACCAATTTCCATTCAGCCTTTCTCTTTTGTTTCCTTCTGTCTTGTTTCCACTTGTTCTTTTTTTTTTTTTTTTTTAAGACAGAATCTCACTCTGTTGCCCAGGTTGAAGTGCAGTGGCGCGATCTTGGCTCACTGCAACCCCCCTGCCTCTCAGGTTCAAGCAATTTCTCCTGACTCAGCCTCCCAGGTAGCTGGAATTTCAGGCACGCACCACCATACCTAGCTGATTTTTTTGTATATTTAGTTGAGACAAGGTTTCATCACATTGCCCAGGTTGGTCTTGGAACTCCTGACCTCAGGTGATTGGCCACCTTTGCCTCCCAAAGTGCTGGGATTACAGGCATGAGGCACTGTGCCCAGCCCCATTTGTTCATTACTGTTATTATTTTAAATTTTATTTCTCTTTATTTCCTCTTCTGTTATGCCACTGTTTCTTTCTTTTTTTGAGCCAGTTTCACTCCATCACCTGGGCTAGAGTACAATGGCACAATCTCAACTCACTGCAACCTCTGCCTCCCAGATTCAAGTGATTCTCCTGCCTCAGCCTGCGGAGTAGATGGGATTACAGGCAGGCACGACCACCACACCTGGCTAATTTTTGTATTTTTTTTTAGTAGAGACGGGGTCTCACCATGTTGGCCAGACTGGTGTGAACTCCTGTTTTTTTCTTTATTCTTAGAGTGAGCTCTCATTCCTGCTTTTATTTTAGGAACTCTCTTCCCTGTTCTTTCCTTTATATTTTTATTTTGTTTTGTTTTTCTCATCGAGACCTAATGGAACTTCATTTGAATTGCCCTTCCTCTCTCATCTTTCTAACATGTGCTTTATTCATTTGCAGAAATGAAGGCAACACATCCTTCTGGGATGCATGCCTTTGTGCACATGTTCATTAAATACACACAGAAACATTCATGCCAGAAGCATCCATTCCTCAGTGTGAACTTGGCCCTCTCAGGCACTCAGGGATCCGATGCTGGACAAGACACAGACACTAACTGTAGTCGAGGTGGAAGTACACTCCAATGTCAATCCCGTCAGTAGTTACTGGGAAGTGTGCTGTGGAGGAGAAGAGCCGTGTGTGGAATGGAAGAACCTCAACTCATCTGAGGAGTGTGGGGCCAGGGTGGTGTTTAGGGAAGGAGTCTCTGAGCAAGTCATGCTCTGCTGAGAGGCATCGAGTTAGCTGATGTGGGTGGGAAGCTTGGAATCCGGAGCGAGGGAGGACTCGGGATGTATGTTGCAGGCAGAGGAGGCGTCTTACACTCACAGGCTGCTGTACCCACATGGATACGTTGCAACCAAGCGTGTTTTGTGTTCGTTCTCTTGTGCGGTGGGGTGATTTACAGGAAGATGCTCTATGATTATGGTATAATGAAAAGAATGCAAGATAGAAGGGAGTCCAGAATTCTAGCTCCTGCTTTGCCAGCTATGAATTCTTAGGCAAGTCACTTCTTAATTTCTCTGAGTCTCAGTTTACTCATCCATAAAATTCAGATAATATCTTTTTTTTTTTTTTTGAGATGGAGTCTTGCTCTGTCGTCACCAGGTTGGAGTGCAGTGGCGCAATCTCATCTCACTGCAACCTCTTCCTCCTGGGTTCAAGTGATTCTTCCGCCTCAGCCTCCCGAGTATCTGGGATCACAGGCGCATGCCACCACGCCCGGCTAATTTTTGTTTTTTTAGTAGAGACAGGGTTTGACCATGGCCAGGATGGTCTTAATCTCTTGACCTCGTGATCCACCTGCTTCGGCCCCGCAAAGTGTTGGGATTACAGGCGCAAACCACCGCGCCCGGCCTAAAATCAGATAATACCTTTCTTACTTCATAAGCTTTATGTAAAGGCCAAAGGGTGATACTGAAGTGCTCAAAAAATAAAAAGCAAAAAAGTGTGACTGTAAGGAGCTTGGACTCCATCCTCCATGGCCTTCGTCTGCCAAGCTGAGGCCACCTACACTCCTCTGATAGTTTCCTCAGCTCCCCTGAGCACACATTTTAAAATAGAATGTGAGAAGCAACATTTGGAGAGAAATTCCAGGTAAAATTGAGGTACTGATGGCCAGTTCCACCTCATGTGGCTTTGCAGCTTCACCTCACAGATGTTCTAAGACCTCAAGACAGGTGAGAATGACGGTATTAGGCTTATTCTTCCCAAAACTTCCAAGATGCCCATCTCTTCTTGTGGCATCAGCAGGTGCTAGTCCTGGCTGTCCTTTAAGCCTCTTCCTTCTTTCATCACGAGCAGCAGAGAGACAGGCTCATGAGTGGTGTTGGAGCAGTTACCACTTGCCAGGGTTTTTGTTTTGTTTTGTTTTTGAGACAGAGTCTCACTCTGTTGCTCAGCCTGGAGTGCGGTGGTGTGATCTTGGCTCACTGCAATCTCCATTTCCAGGGTTCAAGAAATTTTCCTGTCTTAGCCTCATGAGTAGCTGGGACTACAGGCACGCCACCACACCCAGCTAATTTTTTGCATTTTTAATAGAGACCAGGTTTTGCCTTGTTGGCCAGGCTGGTCTCGAACTCTTGACCTCAAATGATCCACCAGCCTTGGCCTCCCAAAGTCCTGAGATAACCGGCATGAGCCATTGCACCTGCCCTGCCAGGCTTCTTAGTAAGGACTCCTATCAACTTGCTCCTTTAACCTCATCACTCTCATTTCCTGGATGAGAAAACTGAGGTGCAGAGATCTTTATTATGACCTGCCCTCCGCCACAGGGCTGGTAAGGAGTAGGGTTAGAAATCAAACCTAGTCTCCTTGATGCTGTCTTCAATCCCGACCCCTCCACTGTGCTGCTTCCCTGCTCAGGAAAGTGGCAGTGCCACCGAAGCGCCCTCTGCCTTAGAACCCTGGCATCCTTGGGAAGGGCTGAGGGCAACCCCCAAGCTCCAGTTGCACTAATGCGAAAGCCAGGGCCTGTGACACTGGAGTGAAAGCGTGTCATGAGGGTAACGGGTGACTGTGAAGTTTGTAAAGCAGTGTCTTGGTGGCTTAACAAACCAGACGTTTTCTGGATGAGGATCTTGCGTCGTCCAGTGGCAGTAGCTGAGACTGAAGATGTCTGCCAAGAAAAGAGGCCACACTGATTCTCCCCCTCGCCCCTGCAGCCCATCACCACAGGAGGGGTCACTTACCGGGAGCAGCCCTGGCACAAGGAGTGCTTCGTGTGCACCGCCTGCAGGAAGCAGCTGTGTGGGCAGCGCTTCACGGCTCGCGATGAGTTTGCCTACTGCCTGAACTGCTTCTGTGACTTGTATGCCAAGAAGTGTGCTGGCTGCACCAACCCCATCAGTGGTGAGTGTCCCAGGGTCCCTACTTCAAAGAGCAATTGGAAGGTTGAGCAAGGCCTAGTATTTTAGCATGTGACCCTGTTTGTATCCCTGAACTCCCCAGACCTCCCTAAGGCTCTGGACACAGCAGACTTTTCTGCCTATCTGCTTTCCTCTCCTAGGGGCACTGGCTATGCTTCAGCAAGTAATGATTACTTCCTCTGCAGCCCACCTGATCACTTAAAACCACATGGCCCAATGCTCTGGTTTAGTTTCTGCTTTGGGTTGGATTATCTCTAAAACTGCAGTCTGTGAGCCTGTGACACTGCAATAAAAACGGACACAGGCCTCTTCAGGCTTAGCAGCTGTGCTGTGCTCTTAGAAATGTCCCCTAGCATCTTAGTGGGACAGTTGTATTCCAAAGCATCTTAGTGGGAAATTTCTGCCACAAGGCCATAGCTATATGAGGGCAGAGGGTACGTTCTGAGGAGTTTTGCATATTGTATTTCCGAAAAGAATCTGGCTAAGAGAGAGCCAAAAATCTGGCTGGCTGGCAGACCAGGCTCCTGGACTAGACTATTAAGCAGGCTGGAAAAATTCAGTGTAGAGAACAGATGATGTCACACTAAAGTCCTTTAAAAGGTCACCACAATTGCTACACAAACTAGTGACTGGATGGGGAGAGAAAAGTGTGTATTCTGCAATAACACAGGAGAAGTTTATGATGTGGAGTTGCCAATCCCATTGCATTCAGTTGACTGGTTCGTCCCTATCAAAGGAAGGTGGCAGACACATGGAGAATCTGGTGGCCTAGCTTTTCTATGTGGCTTTGCAGTATTATTACACAAACACATCTGTGCATCCCCTGCATGCTTGCACTTGACTTTCTTTTCCCTCAGGCCTAGAACCAAGTTCACTTAACTTAGCTAACTCACCTTCCCAGGTCACTCAACAGTTCTCTCGTGTATAATCCAGAGCTCATTACATTTTCATGTGAAATTAAAAGATGAAGAAAAATCATAGTATTTACACTTTACCTATGTTAAAATATCTGTTTCTGGTCATTTATATACCAGATTTCCCTTGGGGGAAAAAATGCAGACTTTTGCCAGAACATATTCATTTTTAAAGCTGTTTTCAGCAGTAACTTCTGTTGAGGTAAATGTTTATAACATTAAGCTTTATAAAGTTATATAATCTATGTAAAAGCATTTTTAAATGTAAAATGTTAGATATGGATGTGAATTGTGGTTATTGTCACACTGAGAAAAAACACTAGGAGAAACAAAATAAGAAACTTTCCTCTAAAACAGGAGAGTTGATTCTTTGAAAAGCAGAGACTAATGTTTGGAAACATATGGAGCAACTTTGAAATATAGCTGTATTAGTCTGTTCTCATGCTGCAAATAAAGACATCCCTGAAACTGGATAATTTATAAAGGAAATAGGTTTAATTGACTCATAGTTCAGCATGACTGGGGAGGTCTCAGGAAACTTACAGTCATGGAGGAAGGGTAAGCAAACATGTCCTTTTTCACATGGCAACAGCAAGGAGAAGTGCTGAGCAAAAGTGGGGAAAGCCCCCTCTAAAACCATCAGATCTTGTGAGAACTCAGTATCACGAGAACAGCATGAGGGTAATTGCCCCCATGATTAAATCACCTCCCACCAGGTCCCTCCCACAACTCACGGGGATTATGGGAACTACAATTCAAGATGAGATTTGGGTGGGGACACAGCCAGATCATATCAGCAGTTAAAGTTTTAGAAATTTCCAAACAATTGTACAAGACTGATTGTTTAGATTAAGCTTCTAACAGGTCCTTACTACTTTTTCTCTTTAACAAAATTTAAATTTTAAAAAATAAATTGGATGTTGACATTTTCCAACTTGTTATGTGCAGTGATCTCTTGACCTCCTGATCTGCCTGCCTCAGCCTCCCAAAGTGCTGGGATTACAGGGGATGCACAGATGTGTTTGTGTAATAATACTGCAAAGCCACATAGAAAAGCTAGGCCACCAGATACTCCATGTGTCTGCCACCTTCCTTTGTTAGGGATGAACCAGTCAAGTGAATGCAATGGGATTGGCAACTCCACATCATAAACTTCTCCTGTGTTATTGCAGAATACACACTTTTCTCTCCCCACCCAGTCACTAATTTGTGTAGCAATTGTGGTGACCTTTTAAAGGACTTTAGTGTGACATCATCTGTTCTCTACAGGAGGTTGCAGTGAGCTGAGATCACGCCACTGCACTCCAGCCTGGCGCCTGGTGACAGAGTGAGACTCTGTCTCAAAAAAAAAAAAAAAAAAAAAAAAAAAAAAGGCTGTGATGTGCCTTACAAAGAAAAATACAGATTAGATAAGCTTCATTTAAGCATGAATAGTGCTGTTGGCCATAAGTTCAGTGTTCATGAATCAACAATATATATTAAATAAGGAATCTTTAAACAGAAACACACACGCCACACAAAGCAACATTTTGTATTGATGAGTTGATGAAAATCTTATGACCAGAGACTTATAGGAACCTAACCCTGTTTTTCTCATAGGAGCAATGGTTCAGTATTTGCTAATTCAGTGTGCACAGGAACATTACGAAACATGGCTTCCAGGAATAAGCGGAATTGACTGTATATACATCTTCCCTTTAGAAAGAGTCATCCCCCTGGGGCTATCCTTGCCTCTCTTTTCTATAAGTTGCTCTGTTTGCTGGCATTTCAGGGAAAAAGAGGAGTTCCTAAAAGACTTTCAGCCTGGGACAGCTGCCTTGCTTGTCTCCTGTCACTACCACCTTTACCTCCTCCCTTCTGCCAGTGTTCCTCCTCGCCTCTGGCTCTATGCTGTAGCAGGACTTATCAGAGGTGAGAAGAAGGAGACATGTGGAATGGTGGAAATGCCAGGGGAGCTCCTTCCTGATGTAGCTAACTTAGAGTGATCAATAAACTGAGAAGAAAAACACCCACTTTTCAAACCCCAGAAGGCTGTCTTCCTAAATCAAGGGAAAGTATTGCCTTACTTTCCAATACTTGGCTGCTCATTGGAAACACCTGGGTGCTTTAGAAATGACTGGTGCTTGGGTCATGATTTAATCAGCGTAAGCTGTGACTTAAGGCATGGGGCTTTTCAAAAGCTTCCCAGATAATTCAGGTATGCAGAAAAGTTAGGACAACTTACTTAAAACCATGGTTGGGTTCTGCTGCAGTGCTGGCCAGGGAGTGCTGTGATTTGTGGGTCTTCCATAGCCCTTAGGTGTCTAGAATTGGTAAAGGCAATTGGCATTCTATTTGATGTAACTGTTGTTAAAGCTGTAAGATATTTGGGAAAAGAGAGTGGAAAAGTTTTGCTGGTATGTAGTCTGGTAGCAGCGGCAGTGAGGTACTAGAAAAGGCACAGAAACTTGCACTAAAAGGCCTGGGTTTAGGCCCTAGCCCTGTCCCTGACTTGCTGAGGAGGGTTATGTCTGAGATCTCCCCCATGTGCAAGAATTTAATGCCAAACACCAGCCTAAACAATTAAGTTATAATAGGAACTGTTTGATAAATTACTGACTCCTCATATAAGTTGGAGACCCCAGACTATTAGAAATGGAGTCGTCATGGTGGCTACTTTGTACTTAATAAGGTTGACCGAACTATTATTTCTGGAAAGAACTCTTTGTAATTGGAGTTCGTGACCCAAATATCACCAGATCAGTAACAATCCTGAGATAAGCCCATGTATTTGAATCTTTTCTATTTCAGAGTTGTCACCTTCAGTAGAAACCAACGATTATAATCAGGGACCAACGTCCCTTCAGTACTTGATTCTATTCTATCTGTCTGTAGCTTTCTGAGGTTCTTCCCTCTGCAACAATATCCCTCTCCCGCTCTCCCCTCGTTCCCACCCACATCCCACTGTATCTGTGGGGCCTGTCCTGGTCATCCCAGAGAGGATCAACCTTTTCCTCTTCTACACTCCCTTCAGCGCTTCAGTCATTAAGTCACAGAAATTTGAGCACCAGGTGACATGAGGCACCTAGTGAAGGCATAGAGAATTCTGCTCCCTGTTCTCACGGAGTTTCATTTTGTGGGAAAACACAACAAATACACAGAGTCAGCATTCTTTTATGGCCCCTATGACATCGTTTTGGAACCCGTTTATGTATCTCTTCTGACGTTTACGAGCTCCTTCAGGCTGTGCATAGAATCTGATTTATATATAGATTCCCAGCACTCGGTCACTAGAAACTCACATGATCCATATTACACAATCCAAAGTTTGAAATGGATCAAACCAGAATTCCTTCTTCAGTCCCAGTTGTCTGATTCTAACTAGTTCTTCATCCAGTATTATTTCTCTCTGTTAACAGGACTTGGCGGCACAAAATACATCTCCTTTGAGGAACGGCAGTGGCATAATGACTGCTTTAACTGTAAGAAGTGCTCCCTCTCACTGGTGGGGCGTGGCTTCCTCACAGAGAGGGACGACATCCTGTGCCCCGACTGCGGGAAAGACATCTGAAGTCAACACAGAGAAGTTGCTGCCTGTGATCTCACACACAGATTTATACATTTTCTTTCTCAACCAGGCATTCTTGCCTTCTGGTTTCTTTCAGCCACATCGAGACTTTCTTCTTGTGCTTTTCAGTGATACTCACGTTTCCTTAAACCCTTTAGTGCTTTGTGCTAGTTCTAGTTCAGTGCCAGGGAAAAAACTCTCCATAGGCCTTAGGTGGGAAGCTGGTTTGAAATTTTTGTAATTGGATAAGGCACACCCAAATGTAAAAATCCTTTTGAATGATGTCTTTATAAATCTATCTTTCTCTCACTGCCTATTTAAGTGCAATTAATATATGTCACAAATTCAGAAGTTTTCTAAACTCAGTAAGGTAATGACCAGTGCGTATTTACAGTTCTATAACTTTCTGTTGTGTCAAGCCTAAAGTAAGATTATTTGACTTACAATAAAGTTATTCAGAACAAAATCTTTTGCCAGGCACAGTGTGTGAAATAATGATTAAAAGTTGAGACCTGGCCAGGAGCAGTGGCTCAAGCCTGTAATCCCAGTACTTCGGGAGGCCAAGGCAGGCAGATACTTGAGGTTGGGAGTTCGAGACCAGCCTGACCAACATAGAGAATCCCCATATCTACTAAAAACAAAAAGTTGGGTGGGAATGGTGGCTTATGCCTGTAGTCCCAGCTACCCAGGAGGCTGAGGCAGGAGAATTGCTTGAACCTAGGAGGTGGAGGTTGCAGTGAGCCGAGATTGCACCATTGCACTCCAGCCTGGACAACAAGTGTGAAACTGTCTCAAAAAAAAAAAAAAAAAAAAAAAAGATTGATCGAGGCTCTAAGTGTAAGTAACATTTTGTTGCATGGTCCCATGGTCACTGTATAAAGTGCAGTTCCAATGGCCTGGGGCAGTGCCAACTGGAATAGCATCACACCCTTTATTTAAAGGAAGCCTTCAGTCAGCACCAGACACCTCTTCCTTGCTACCTTCTCTCTCTTCCCCTACTCTTTCTCTTGGAATGTAATCCCCTGCATCTGATGCAGTAACATAAACTCCTGACAGTGAAGCCAATTTTCAGGTCACTCTTCTTGGCAGAGCTTATTAGCTCTGTCCCAGTGTTACAGATCCATATTTTACACTGACTTCCGTAAAGTGAAGGATTGCACAAGGACATCAGCAACTTGGGGCCAGAGATGACATCCTGTTCATCTTTATGTTCTCAACACCCTAGCAATTGAGGGCACATTGGGAGCCTTCAGTGTTTCTGAAAAAGGGAGTAAAGCAGGAAAGACACACAGTCATTACAGTAAAAATAATATCCTGAGCTCCTAGTGTGGCAGTATCCTATAAAATAATCTCAGATAGCAGTATGCAGTTGGAAAGCACCAAGCCAGTATATGCGATAAAGATAGTGCATTATTACACAGTTCTCTTTAGAATGGGAGCATTAGTGACCTTTTTGTCCTTGGTTTTCTAAGGAAATGCAATATAATAAAATGATACACTGAGCAACAGAAAAAATTTGGTGGAAATCAAGTCTGATATAGGCTGAGCATAAGTGAAGTCAGTTTTTTAATCTGAGTGGTAATCACTGTCAGGATGTTTGATAATGTCTGGAATGATTCTTTTGGATTTATAGTTGATTTGAGGTTTTACTTGAAAAGAATAATTTCATCCCTTGTTAGCTGTTTTGCTGGTTTCTACTTCATAACATAAAAGTAAAAGCACTCCAGATTTCATTTTGGATCATCTTACTCGTTCCTCATTAAAACCATAGACTCTCCCAGCCTTAGATCACCCACTCTAAAATTAATGGTGAGGTGGAGTTCCACTTCTAGTAAATAGCTCCAATTGGACTAATTCTCCCCCAAATCAACAATCATTCTGGACAAAATATTTTTCTAATTGCTGAGAACACTGAAGCATGATCCAAAGCAGGCAGGCATTGGAGGGGGTAGACCAGGCGTCCCCAAACTTTACACAGGGGGCCAGTTCACTGTCCCTTAGACCGTTGGAGGGCCGCCACATACTGTGCTCCTCTCACTGATCACCAATGAAAGAGGTGCCCCTTCCTGAAGTGCGGCGGGGGACCGGATAAATGGCCTCAGGGGGCCGCATGCAGCCCACGGGGCCGTAGTTTGGGGACGCCTGGGGTAGACACTTAGAAGAAGAGAACGACACTGGCTGATTTGGCTGTTTTGGTCTTTTATCCAAGGGCAGGCCCCAGCCGGGCATCTAAAACTCTATTAGGAAACCTGTAGTCACACTGGCCTGAGGAACCAGAGGCCAGAGTTTAGGACAAACAGCCTTTGGAAAATGAGGAAAAAAGTCTTGAAAAGGAGAGCCCCAAGTTCATTGTATGAACTTAGAAATTTCTGAACTGGGTATACTTAGGCCAGACTCCAAGCAGCCCAGCCAAGGCTAAAAGCAGTGACTGACAGGACTCTGGGGACAGTAGTGGGTAGGGCTCAGCTGACCAACCCTCTTCCTATGGAAGAAAATTACTTTCATATCAATCACTCAACACAAATTCTCTGAATACAACAAATAAACATTCACTCAGGAAAATACACTATTAAAAGTCTTAGAACAGTGAGTCTGTGTCATCTGAGCCACAACCTCCTTCCATCCCATCCCCACTCCCAGCTTCATGTGACAGACTCTATTCTGGATCAATGCAGCCAAAAAATAAGGGGTCTCTCTTCCCCCAGCTACCCTGGCCTAGGGCTCTGCCCCAGGTGTGACAGGTTGAAAATCCTGGAGCTCCAATTGGCCCTACCCTAGCCTGCTTAGTGCAGAGGCTCCACATTGGAAGGGGCAATCTGAGAAGACCAGGGGCGGCCAACCCATTCACAGAAGGGGTGCTACTCCCAGAGAAGCAGGCTGCTGTCTAGCCCCCAGGAGAGAGCCAGGCTCTGAGATTGGTACCTCAGCAGTTCTGCCCAAGGGGGCTGGTATTTGGTATGGAGAACTTAGAAGTCTGTGCCTAAGGGGATTGTCAAAAACAATGAGAGATCTTGTCAGTGAGCAATTGAGGGGACTGGCAACTCCATGCTACATAGCAAAAACCAAAATACAGAGCAGCCAGAAGTTTAACACAGAAAACTAGAGAAAGAGATAGCCAAGAAGGGCCTTCCTGGAATCTCATTTATCCTTGAGTGTCGGGAAGTATGTATAGTTTGGGCTATATCCACGCAGAAGCAATCAAAGTGGGATATGAAACAAACTTGGCATACACAGATCAAACAGTTAAGAGCAGAAATCGTATTAGCTCAAAGTGCTTAAGCAAAATGACCAAATACTGGCTGAGTGTATAAACATGTTTGTTCAAAGAACTAAAGGAAATCATATTTTAAGAATTAAAGAAAGGCAAGAGAACAATTACAGTTAGTCCTCCATATCCATGGGCTCCTCATCTGTGGATTCAGCCAACCGTGGATCAAAAGTATTCAGGGAAAAAAAAAGTCCACACAGTTCCAAAAAGCAAAACTTGAATTTTCCACATGCCGAGTACTATATTGAATCAATGCAAATGAAGCGATGTGTAGGCATTGTATTAGGTATTAGTAATCCCGAGATGATTTAAAATATACAGGATGATGTGAATAATTATATGCAAATTCGATGCCATTTTATATAAGAGACTTGAGCATCCATGGAGTTTGGTATTTGCAGGGTGTCCTGGAACTAGTCACCCACAGATACCAAAAGATGACTGTAGTCACCAAACAAACCAATAAAGATATAAAAATTATTTTTTAATAAATCAAATGGAATTCTGAAGTTGAAAAGTATACTAAGTGAAATGAAAAATTCACTAGAGAGGCTCAATAGTAGATTTGAGTTGGGAGAAGAAAATCAGTGAATTTGAAGATGGAACCACAGAAATTATACAATCTGAAACACAGAGAAAAACGAGAGAAAAGAAATGCGAAATGTAAGAAACCATTAAGCATACCAACATATGTGTCATGGAAGGACTAGAAGGCTAGGAGAGAGGAAAAAAAGAGGATTAGATCTTTTTCAGGGTTAATGACTAGCTAGGTGCAGTGGCACGTGCCTGTCATCCCAGCTACTCAGGAAGCTGAGGTGGGAGGATTGCTTGTGTCTGAGTTTGAGGCTGCAGTGTAAGCAAACAGCACCTGTGAACAGCCACTGCACTCCAGCCTGCATAACATAGTGAGACCTTCTTAAAAAAGAAAAAGAAAAAAAAAAGTTAGTGGCTGAAAAAATCCCCAAATGTGATGAAAAATATGAATCTACATATGCAAGAAGCTCAATAAACTCAAAATTGGATAAATGCAGAGAACACACCCAGACACAACACATTCAAAATGCTGAATGCCAAAGATAATGAGGAAATTCTGGCTAGATGTAAAATAACATAGCTATATAATTAAGACTTTTTATTAAATTAGGAAATTAAGCATACATATACAAAAGTACACAAAACATGCTAACAGACAAAACTAAACCAATGGGATGTTGAAACCATTCTGTATTATGAATAGTAAACTATAGTCCCTGGGCTAAATCCTGCCCACTGCCTGTTTTCTTTCTTATTTATTTATTTTTGAGATGGGATCTCACTCTGTTGCCCAGGCTGGAATGCAGTGGCATGATCACAGCTCACAGTAACCTTGAACTTCTGGGCTCTAGTGCAGTGGCATGCTCCTGGCTCATTGCAATCTCCACTCCCAGGTACAAGGGATTCTCCTGCCTCAGCCTCCCGAGTAGCTGGGATTACAGGTGCATACCACCATGCCTGGCTGATTTGTATTTTAATAGAGACAGGGTTTCACCATGTTGGCCAGATTGGTCTTGAACTTCTGACCTCAAGTGATCTGCCCACCTCGGCCTCCCAAAGTGCTGGGATTACAGGTGTGAGCCACCACACCTGGCTGATGGCTGGCTATTTTTAAATTTTTTTTTTTGTAGAGATCAAGTCTCACTATGCTGCTTAGGCTGGTCTCAAACTCCTGGGCTTAAGTGATCCACCTACCTCAGTCTCCCAAAGCACTGAGATTACCACGTGAACCATCACACCTGGTCTGTTTTCTTTTTTAAAAAGTTTTATTCAAACACAACCATATCTGTTCATTTATGCATTGGTTTGCTGGCAATTTTTTACTGTCTCGACCTTTACAGAAATATCTGCCACCTGTGCTGTACTCTATCTTGATCTGGGTAGTGAAACATACACATACACACATATATTTTTTTCCTGAGCTATATAACTGAGTTTTTTTTTGTTTGTTTTTAAATTCTACAGCATTTTATTATAAATCAATACAAAATTTTAAATATGGTACACTTTGTATAGTTTTTTGTCCTGGAGTTATTAAAGCTTGTCTTTTTTTCATTAAACAGCAAGCCAACTTGATTGATCTTTACTTGATTATGACAATATGTGAAAGCTTTGGGGGTCGGTCTCTACTGCCTGATGCTTCTGCTGCAGCTCACGCTGGG